AACGCCGGTGGGTTGCCATTGACCAAGCTAGGTTGTGGTGGAGGCCCAGTAGATACCGTAAGTCCTCCAGAAGGTGGTTGTTGGGAGGTAATATCGGGTTTGGTCTGTGGTACTGTAGCAACCTCTGTCGGAGGAGCTGGTGCTGCCGGAGGAGGAGGTGCTGGTGGTGGTGCCTGTTCTTGTTGTTGATGGGGTGGTGATGGTACTGCTGGCTGCGGTGGATTGGGAGATGGAACCGGTTGCTGAGGGATATCAACCTTTGCAGGTTGCTGTACTTGCGCCGTCTCTGGTTTCTGCTCCGAGGGTTCTTGTGGAGGCTTGCTGACCGCAGCGTCCGGAGCTTGAGCTTGCTTCTCTTCCTTGACGTCGAGATCCATGGCATCCGGCGCAGGAGGCGCGACTTGAGGCGGCTCCTCCGGGCCCTTGGGAGCAGTAACATCCTGCGGGACAGGCTCTGCGTGTTCTTCTACTACCTCTTGTCTCTGCAGCTGCTCAATCTCCTCTCGAATCTCTCTGTATCTCCTCTCCTCCTCCCGAATTTCCCTTGTAACGCGTTCCTTGTACCGGGCGTACAGCTGGGACACCAGCCCCGGGACGATCATAGCGTGAGACTTGGCCAAGTCGACGACGCCTACGTGGTCCACGGTGGGACTCGAGATCTTGCGCTTCTTGGGGTTTGCGGTAGATACGCCATTTTGGTCAGCGACGGAGGCCGAGGGGGAGCGATTCTGCTCAATCCATTCTTGCATCAAGGTCGTATACAGCTCCTCCAGGGCCTCCGGACTGAGCCGGTTCGCGTCGAAAGCCTCATTTTCCCGGATGAAAGGATTGTTGCGCAAGGCATCGGAGATGGCGGCGAAGCTGGCAGGCCGGGTGTCGTGGGCGGCGAGGGACTGGAAGAAGAGGAGGGATTCAAAGGGCGTGTAGGCCGACAGCGGAGGCATCCCCCATTGCCCGTCGAGGCGGCCACTCACAAGGGGCGTTTCGGTGATGGGAGCCACGATGCTGCTGGAGGCGGCGGTGGCCCAGAAAGGGAAGCGAGGAGAGTCGATGCGATGGGGATCAGTCGAGGACAGGTACGCATCGCCTCTTTACTCCATCTCCAAAGGGATGATGGAGAGAGGTGAACAAAGGCCCGGGTCCGACCGTGAGAACGCGTCCGACACGTGAAGGGCGTTAGTCAGCGGCAGGTAATAACAAAAAAAAGGGAATTGCCAGAGCCTGACGCGTCGATGGACAGCGTGTAGTGGCGGTGCTCTCTGGGACGGGGACAGGAGCTGTTTGGTTGATCTGGGAGATCGTATTAGGGGCTGATCTGTTGCTGGGGAGTGCTGGGGGACTGCCATCTGGCATCATGGCGAAAAGCGAAAAATTGCACTCCCCGGTAGGCTCATCACGTGACCGAAGCGACCAACCGACGCGTCCCCGGCGGGGGAATTTCTCTGCAGACGCCCCGCTACAGCTCAGCAGTAATAAAGACGCAGCACTGGGCCATGCGACATTATTATCTTATATCTAGTATCTGCCTGCTAGCTAGCATGCTCCGTAAGCATAGCATGACGCTCGTCCTCTGATCATGTAGTAATTAATGTACCGCACAGTCCGCACGCCGTCCGCTAGCTCCATTGGCACCGTATCCTAGCTCCTTTAGCTCGTCTGCCCTCAGATCGCTGCAAGGCACTGACTGGAGGCGAGTCAATAGCCCGACTGCCCGCACACGCCGTGGGTTTGGCGGCCCCATCTGGCGTGGATTCTGCTGGAGCCGGCTGGCCTGCTGGTCGGGGTCCCTGGCCCAGCACGAGCCTCGCGGCGCCACCACGCCTACCCTCACGGCCCTCGCTGCTGCCCCGTCCTCCGCTGAGCTGCATCGCCTGGCCGACCGGCCCAGCTGCTGCTCCAGTCCCAGGCTCCCAGGCTAATCAGGATCATCGCTGGCTGATTAAGATGCCCGCCATGCCTCCAACTCCCTTGCAGGGTGCCCGGTGGACTCTGACGACTGCCCATCCGCGCGCTGGTTCGTTGATCAGGCGTCAATCTCGCCGCCGGCGCATGCTCCTGCTCGCTCTCGGATTCGGCCTGTCTCGTCGCTGTCCCGCAATCGATCCTCCCTGAATGACCCATTCTTCGTCCTGTCTCCAGCTAACCCGTGTGCCGGGCCCTGTATTAAATCGAACGACTACGAAAAATCAAGAAAAACAAAACGACCTGGGGTTCCCTTCCCTTCTTCCCGCTGCTCCCTTATCGCTGCGATCGCGCCGTGATCGTTATAGCTGTAGCCCGCCGCTCCTCCTGGCCTTAGGGCGACGGTGGTCCGCCTTCTCCACCTCCCTTCGACAGCTGTCCCTGATCTGTCCTTGCTCTCGAGATTCTCAGCTGGCCCTGGTTTCGCAAGAAGAAGACAGAACGATTCAAGACCACCTCCTTGCTTGCTGATTAAGAGCTCCTTTCCACGCGTTCTGCCATTCATCAGGAGGAAGCTTCCCTGGAGCTGCGACTGCACTGCCCGTCAACCTCCATCGCCCTCCTTTGAACACTGCCCCAGGGGGAAACCACCGCCCACCATGTCGGACACCGAACAGGACTGGAAGCCCAACGGCCGGCGCCCTCAATCGTTTGTCTCCCCTTCCTGCTCTTGTGCCTGTTGCGATTCCGTCTTCGTCATCAGGGACTGTTGACCAACATATATACAGAACTATTGCGCAGGCTTTCTCCGCGGCGCTGGACAAGACGTTTGCGCTTGATAATGACGTCGATCATTTGACCCAGACTATTGAACAGAAGTATGTCGTCCCAGGAATCCGTCTCAACGTGCTCACGAAGTCACCGTGGAATACCATGCCTTTATCTGACGCCCAGCATTCGATGCGCTCGATTCCTCATGCCGGATGAGATAAGCGTGATGCTGACATTGCCGCTGCAGAAAGCAGATGGTGACCATCCAAACCCGGGAACTGGAAGTTCTCCAGGCCAAGATTCGCGAAGCAGAAGAACGCCTCCGGGAGCAAGAGTCCCGCGTAGCTTCTCCGACAAGGATCAATGGCCGTCACAGCCCCAATGATGATGCTCAAGGTTCGACACAGCAATCAAATGAAAATGGCGAGGGGCAGGAGCCTCAGGCTCGATCTCCAATGTCGTCACCCATCTCCGACGACCATCCCTCTGACGAAGGCTTCACAGACTCCTCCACATCCACCGCAACATCCCACAATCTTGACGAAGCAGGCAGTGAAAACGAGCATGAAGGCAAGGGAAAGGAAACGGAATCATAATGAGTGTTTATAACTTTTAATCTTTTCTGCATGGATTGCTGGTGGGATTTGGATTTCATCTTCTCCTCTTGATGCAACTTGGGAGACCAGGGGATGGTGAAGGAAGTGACTGGTTTGATTCCCCCGTACAGGATGATATTGTGGACGAATCTCTTTGTTCAACCTTGTATTCGGTGGCCAATTCGGCCCCCGCCGTTCTTGGACCATCCACGATATGGTTTTGGGTTGCATCATCTCCAAGATTCCCCTGTGCAGCCTTTGAATGGAGTCTGATTAAAGGGCATTCATTTCACAAAGTTTTCCCGACATTGCGCAGGAGCACAAGGAGTCAGGCAGGCCCCTCTTTCACCTTTGCATCGTTGTCTTTGGCAGGTCGAGAGACATTCGTTTTCTCCCCTATGTTGTGCGAGAGAGATATATATATATATATTATATATACCTATATACCATAATATCAACTGAGTGACTTAATTTTGGATTCGTCCCCATCTGCCCTCCACTCACCAAATGCATCATGCATGGCCAGCAATATCCCCACCGCCTTATCTCATGCCGCCACGCACGACACGACGGATGCTCCACTTTTCCTGATGCCCTCTGTTGCCGGTATGGGGACGGGGAGCGCGGTGATCTGTGTTGCAGCGAGCACGGTGTGATGTGTATACTCGTCCTCGGTGAGGTGAGAATTAGGAAGCTGCCCGCGGGAGGGAAATGGCCTCAACCATGAATCCACGACGACTCGACCGCTGTTGGCACAACCAGGAACAGCGATATGGGCGGGTCTCGTTATCGATAAGCGGGGCTGTATAGTAGTACAGTACATACACTGTTGCAGCAAGTCGAGTGACCGTCCCAGACAGTAATCTTATTCCCAGCTGCTGGGGACGTCGCCGCCAGATTGGCCTCTGGCGGTTCCCGTAAATCGCCCTCCTGAGCCTCTCGAGCTTTCCCAGGTCGATAAGCTTTCGCCCACTTTCTTTGTTTTTGCACCGGAACTGTTTGCTTCCTGTTCGCCTCTTGCTCCCAAGACGCAAACCTTGGTTTTCGATATTACTCTGGGTCGGGGAACCACCACCCGCCATGGTGATAATCGACGACCACGAATATCTCAGTGTGGAGGAGAAGCGACTCCAGGAGGATCGCGAGCGCACCAGATATTGGAAGAAATGGGGTCCCTATGTGGCAGAACGACAATGGTCTACCGGTTGGTTCTTTTCTTTTATTCTCCTCCCTCAATTGTTGTCGTCTTCGTCGATACTCTGCTCCGCTTAGCTTTGACTGATGGCCGCATCTTGCTCCAACAGTTAGGGAGGATTATTCGTAAGTTTATTGCCGTTGCTGCGTTCAATTTCATTCAATTGGACTGGAATCAAGATGGCTTACGCAAAGCAGCGAAAATGGCGATGCATGGAGTTGTAAGTATCTTACAATGCGGTCGCGGTCGAATCGACTAATCTGATATCTGGTTCAGATTTTCCCCATGACCATGCGCGCTCCAGAGCATTCCGTTGGGGCGAGGACGGCATTGCCGGTGTATCAGACTCTCACGGCCTGCTCAACATCGCGTTCGCCTTCTGGAACGAAAAAGAGTAAGTCAGGGAACCGGGCATAGTTGCAATATCTCCCTCGGTCGGTCGAGAGCTTATAGTCCCGCATGCAGTGACTTCCTCAAAGAACGACTATTCGGGCTCTCCAATCCGCAAGGAAATCACGGGGAAAGTATCAAGGAGTGCCATTTCCATCTGGATAATACTCCCACGGTAAGCGATCTTGTGCAGAATCCAACGGCGTGGTTGAGCGCACAAGTCTGATTAAGGAGTTTGTTTGACTGCGGTTCTGGCATAGCATTCCTACATGAAATATCTCTACAAATACCCGCAGAGGAAGTTTCCGTATCAGGAGCTCGTCGACGAGAATGCGAGGCGTGGGAAGCAGGACCGCGAGTACCAACTTTTGGACACGGGCATTTTCAACGACAACCGGTACTGGGATATCTTCATTGAAACGGCCAAGGAGGCCGACGATGAAGAAGAGTTGCTATTCCGTGTCATTGCGTACAATCGTGGACCTGAATCTGCTCCGTTACATATCATCCCCCATGTCTGGTACAGGAACACGTGGACGTGGGGTTGGGAGGAGAAGGAGAAGAAACCCTTGATAAAACAAATCGGTCCCTTAACAGCCGAGTCACATCACTGGAAACTTGGGCAACGATACGTCCGCCTTTCGCCCTCACCCGCCATCAATGGTGGTGAGCAGGATATCCAACCTCGACTGCTCTTCACGGAGAACGACACCAACAATGAGGCCCTCTGGGGCACTAAGAACGACCAACCTTACGTAAAAGATGCGTTCCATCGTTACATCGTCAACGAGGAAAAGGAGGCTATCAACCCAGCCAACCGGGGCACCAAATTTGCGGCTTGGTATGCCTTTGATGAGGGCGATGGCGTTCCCCCGGGAGAGTGTGTCGTCGTACGCTTCCGATTCTCGAGGAAAAATGAGGACTATGTGAATGAAGAAGAGCTGGACGACGTGATAGAGCAGCGCAGGGCGGAAGCGGATGATTTCTACTATCGTATCAGTCCTCTTCCCATGTCGGAGGATTTACGGAATATACAAAGACAGGCCCTCTCTGGCATGCTATGGACCAAGCAGTATTATCACTTTATCTGGGGTCAATGGGCTAACGGCGACCCCAACATGGTCCCGCCACCTCCTGGCCGGAAAGGAATCCGCAATGAAAAATGGAAACATCTGTATCTGGATGATATTCTGTCAATGCCGGACTCTTGGGAATATCCCTTCTTCGCAGCCTGGGATACGGCTTTCCACTGCATCCCGCTCGCCATGATCGATCCCGACTTTGCCAAAAAGCAGCTGGATCTCCTTACTCGGGAGTGGTACATGCATCCCAATGGACAGCTTCCCGCTTACGAATGGAACTTTGGCGATGTCAACCCCCCGGTGCATGCTTGGGCCGTCTTTAGAACTTTCAAGATCGAACGGAAGATGTACGGGCGGCAGGATCTCGATTTCCTAGAACGTGTCTTCCAGAAATTGTTGTTGAACTTCACCTGGTGGGTGAACCGCAAGGACTCTGAAGGCAAGAACGTGTTTGAAGGTGGCTTCCTCGGCCTCGACAATATCGGTCTCTTCAACCGTTCCGAGCCATTACCGACCGGCGGAGTTCTAGAGCAGGCTGACAGTACGGGATGGATGGCTTTTTACTGCTTAAGTATGCTGAATATTGCTCTGGAGCTAGCTAAGCACCGTCGAACATACGAAGATAGTGAGTATACTTGGTCTTAAACCTGCCTTGGCTGACTCCAAAACAGTCGCATCCAAATTCTTTGAACACTTTATTTTAATCAGCGATGCTATGACGTTCAAGTCTGATGAGAAGGAGACCTCCCTTTGGAACGAGGAAGACAGGTATCTTATAGTTTCGATACTCTCCTCGAAAAGTTGTGAGCTGATACAGGATATAGTTTTTATTACGACGCCATTTCTTACGGTGGTCCGTGGAGTCAGCAGCTCCCCGTGAGATCCCTGGTTGGATTGATCCCTCTATATGCAGTGCTCACCCTAGAACCGGAAGTCATCAACCAATTCCCGTCTTTCAAGCGCCGATTGAACTGGTTCATTGAGAATAAGAATGATGTTGCCGAACGCAACATTGCCAGTATGCGGCACCGTGGCAAGGATGACCGACTGCTTTTGGCTCTCGTGAATCGAGATAGACTGGAGAAGATCCTGAACAGGATGCTGGACGAGTCCGAATTCCTGGCAGATCACGGCATCCGGTCGCTGTCCAAGTACCACGCAGAGCATCCATACTCAATGCAAGTCAATGGCCAGGAGTTCAAAGTGGGCTACGTCCCCGGGGACTCTGACAGCGGGTTGTTTGGTGGCAACAGCAATTGGCGCGGTCCGATTTGGATATGCGTCAATTTTTTGCTCATCGAGTCTCTGCTGCGATTCTACATGTTCTACAGCGACTCATTCAAGGTCGAGTGTCCGACCGGTTCGGGAGAGTACATGCACTTAGGCCATGTCGCTCAGGGGATCCAGCATCGTCTGCAGCACCTGTATGCGAGAAACGAGGAAGGACGCCGAGCAGTCAATGCCGGGTCTGACCTGCTTGACTTTGACGAGCACTGGAAGGATTATCTGTGGTTCTACGAGTTCTTTGATGCTGACACCGGTCGGGGGCTGGGGGCCTCGCACCAATGCGGTTGGACTGGCTTGCTTGCAAAGATCATTCATGACACTGGGTATGTCTGAAGCTTATTGGATAGTCGAATGTTCATCTAACTGGTTCACAGACTCAACTGCCGTCTGCCGCAAACACCGCGCACCCCATCCACGGCAGCGGCGCATTACTTCGACGATATACTTTCGCGTTCGGCGAAGCCTCGCAGGCCCAGTACTCCGATGATGCGTCGCTCGTCCACTAGTCGCTCTATTGGAAACCGTAGCGACTTTGCGACCACCGTTAACGGGGACGTGGACAGCTTAAGCTTGGACGACGATGGCAATCACAGACCATCCAACCAACTGACTCACGAAGAGGATGAGTATCTCACCAACTACGTCGCAAGTCAGCTGGATCGGGTGAGAAGTCAGGCGTCACTCGGCGCGTACGAGGACGAGTTTGAAGCGCAGCTTGACGAGTAGACATTATCCGCCATTCTATCAGGAATAGACTTGCTACAGACGACTAGGCCGTCGTCACCTGGGCACAGTTGAAAGGCCTTTTCCCATTCCATTTTTTTCCTTGCTCATCTTCATTTTTTCTTGCTTTGGTCTACCGTCCATTAATATGTTAGATGCCCAGCATATGTTTATTTCATTGGACCATAGAATATAGGTATGCATTTTGGGACGTATATGCCATGAAAGATACTGGGAAATACGATACACGTTTCTTGGATATTTATTCATTCCTTCGGTAGAGTTATGGCCTGTACTCCGTAGTGAGTGTTTGCTTTTGGCAATGGAAAAAAGGAAGCGGCCGGAAGACGGGCGGGTCTCGGATGGTGCAGTCACGTGGCTGCTCCGACGAGTTGGCCGTGCAAGAAGAACTTCGGATGTCAACTCAACTCCAGGCTCTCCGGCACAGCAGCGGCCATTGCACCCCGCCAGACGTCCCTGTCGGCTCTTAACCATCTCCAATCTATCCTCTGCCACTGTACCCTCCGATAGCCAGCCCAATGCTGTCCTCTCGGCTCGCCCGCGCAGGCCTGCGCGCCTCCTCCACGATCAGCTCGGTTCCTCGGACTGCCGCGATCAACGGCATCCGGACCTACGCTGCTGCCGCC